GAGAAGCAACACCTCATATTCCACTTCGGGAGCCTACAGCCCAATGACCTAAATGTGGATTTTACCATTTTCAAAATCTCCCCACCCCTGGCCTCATCCCACGACCAAACCTCCCTCTCATCCCCACCTCCTTGACCTGACACAACCTGTCCATCTTCTCTCCCAACTAACTGCTCCTCCCACCTCACTGACCAATCCCCACCACTGCCTACCTGCACTCACCTATCACCATCCCACCTACCTTCTCCAGCCCTATCCCTTCCCCCTCCCCATTTTTGAAGAAGGGTCCTGACCCGAAACTTACCTGCTTCTTTGATGCTGCCTGGCCTGCTGTGTTCCTCCAGCTCCACTCTTTCATCTCTAATTTTAACAGCTTAGTTGGTTTCAAATAACAGTATTTCTTGGTGAAAGTTATCATGTGTTTTATATTTATCAACTCTCATTCAATAACTAATCTAATTTAAAGTCCCTTGGCTATTATATCTGTTTTGGCATAATTAGCATTGTAGTTGTATAGCCAGCTATTTCTGATGGCAGTTGGGCATAGATCTAGACACATTTTTATATCGTGAATATTTCATCAGCAAATGTAGTTGGTCAGGGAATAATTGCTTTGTGGTGACCTGAATGTAGACCGTGTAAGTGCCTTTCCAGATGAAAGCATTGCAGTTGGGTATCCCATTCCTTTTGTAGATTGTAGTTGACGTGCTTTCTGCAACTGCATGCTGAAGATACTTTTTTATTTAGGAGTGTTTTAAAGAACTCAACCTCTGCACCTGAAGAATGAATGCTTTTTATTAAAATATAAATCTCCTGTTACAAGCTCTCAAAAGCTAATTTCCGGTTGATAACGCTTTCTCTTTCCCATTCCCCCTCTGAGTGTGCAGGAAAGGGAGAAAGGAAGAAACACTGGCCCATGTTTGGGCTTGGAATGAAGGTGAAATTGGCGTTCACTGATATTACACGGAAAATGACCAAAACCCCTCTGGTAATTGCACATGTGCAGTCAAACATTGAAACCTGTAGATTTTAATCTGTGAGCGCCCCGCTCCCACTTCAGAATTATTTTAGCTTTAGATTAATTCTTTGAATGTATTTCATATTTAGTGTTTTTATTCTGTTAAAATTAGAAAAAGTGAATGCTAAGATCTGTTAGTTCCTGGTTTGCTGGCTGTCAGAATTCTTCAGTGTAATTGGCCTCTTAATGTACTTGATGACTGCGCCCCCTGTAGCTAGTGCCTGAATAACCTTTCATGTCAGAAAGGTGAAAATCTGGCAGTTATCTTGTGATCTTCATGGATAAATTTCCTCTAGGGTGGCAAAAAATGCTGTCATTTTATTCCTACTGCAAAATCCAAGCAACGGTTTCATCAGTGCCAGAATTGCCAGTATCCTTCATTCGGAACTGTAACCTTCATCTCTTCCTGTCCCTGTAAAATGATTACAGCACCCTGCCAGGTGTTCAGGATGGCATTCACCTTGCACCCTTTTTATTATTTGAAAGGTTTTTAGGGGAATGTCAGTTGTGATTTTTGCATCCCCCACCCCTTGCTGTTCTTTAATAAAAGCACTTTATCAAATGTCACACTATTCTCTGGGATTTTCTCTTCTGTTCTTTGTACTTTAATACTGTTTATCATGTCAGACACATTTATTTTTGCACAGACAGATGTAGTCTGTCATGTGTGTGAAAATCGTAACTCAGTAAATAAAAGATTTTTATTGTCTCCAACTCCCAGCACTGCTTTGTGTAATTTGGATGCTGTTATACACTGTTTCTATTAATTCTGAAGTAACTTCTTCCTGTGAGATTTTCTCATCTTTCTGGCTGCTGATTGAGCTGCAGTGTATGTCTATCATTTCTTGTTTGGGTTTCTATTACTTGAACTTGACTCCAAGCAGCTCCCGTCCCTTCCTCCTTAACATCAACAAGTGGTGCTTCTGTGTCTGCCCACCAGTAAATTTTACCTTGGAGGGCTTGGATTTTGAATTTCTGATAGTGAGATATATTTCCAACAATTATGCCTGAAACTTCTAATATTGTGTGCTATTAGGGGAAACCATGACGAAGGGAATTAAAGGAGTCCAGGTAATCCTTTAGTCCGCAACAAAACACATTGTCATTTCTTTCACATTAGCCATGCAAATCCTTAATTGGTTCCTAAAGAGAAGCATAATATAAATTGCCAAAACAATGGAGCAACTTGACTTTCTGATTCAGGATAGTGATTCATCTTCACAAGTGGTGCATGCAATGGAGAGTAGTTTGGATTTGATCCAAATGCTATTGGATCTGACCATAAGTGAAATCATTGATTTGCATGATTAGCATTTTTGAGTTTGGAAATTTATCAAGAGGAACATCAATCACAGTGCAGTCAAATTCATTTTAGGAGAATCAAAGTTAAAAACCCAATCCATTCCAATTATCGTTTGTTTTTACAAAAATTTTTCTTTTGCATTTCTTTACCAATTTTGATTGCAGCCATTTTAATGTTAGAAGCCCTGATGGATACAGTGCTCCTGGTGGCAGTTCACTGTCCCTAAGTTTAGTTGTTGATGTAGACATACAGTATGCTCCATAAACAACTTTTGTAACAAGTAAGCACAAGCTGTGCTCAACACTAGTTGCTGTATGTACTGAACTTCAAATGTGTGTGTGTTGTAGTAGACGAGGGTGGTGTCCGAGAGCTATGGGGCTGCTTGAGGTTCTTCTTGCTGCTGAAGTGGTGCTCGAAGGTTAATTCAGCCTATGATGCCCTCCCTTAAAAATCTTTAGCTGTCTCAAATTATTGATGAGAGAATCTTCCTCCTGGAGAGAATTTTTTTTAGAAATCAACTTGTCCTGGATCACTGGACACCACTTAATAGACTTTTACTATATTGATTTAATTCTAGTGTAATAGCATTTGGTGATCTACTTTTTAAAGTGTGCAGCCTCTGTTGTTGTTGCCTTGGATTTATTTCACTCTAAGTCCTTGAAATCACTGCTGCTGATAGAAATCTAAAGTGCTGTGTTTTAGAATCTTAAAAAAAGGGGAAGAAAGCATCGTGTTTTTCCAAGGACACTCAAATTGCTTACAGTTAAATGGTTGCACTGAAAAGTACATAATTGTCATATAGGAAATCTTGGAGTCAGTAATAATACATAATTATTGCTACCTAAAGTACTTGACATTTTGCTCTAGAACACTGCAGTAATGTTATGAAATGGACTGGCTAGTACAACAAATGACTTTTTTTTAGTCCCCCGGTTCTTTGTTTAGTTTGGAAGTAATAATTTTAGCAAACTCTTACTGACTGAGGCTGTTCTGACTTGAACTTTTGTAATTGGTAATTTTCTTGTCTTGGAATATAATTAGTTAACTGAGAGAGATGAGTTGTTTGTCAAAATTAGTTTGCAGACCATTGTATCTTTTTAAGAGGGCAAGTTGATTTTTAAAAAAGAATGATAGTGTTAATTTAGCAGTAACTGATTTTAGTTGCATACCCTCTTGCTTGATGGATGGTATTAAGTAAGTGGAAATTGGAGGAGACTAAGAAAGTAAGCATTGATTCAGACTGGACGAATGTCATCACTGCTTTTCAGCCAAGGTCAAAATATTCTATTTCTTTTTGTGAAAAACTTTTGGGAATAGATCTGATTCCTCGTGCATCTGTCATATTGGACTGTAAAAATAATCTTTCCTGAAATCTGTATACTTTCTCATCTTGAAAATTTTTCATATTTTGGTAAAAATATTGCAAACTTAAGATGCTATTTGTATTTTATTCAGAAGCAAACATGAGAGGATAACAAACTGCTGTATTAGAAACTGGTTTGAATCTGCATGCAACCATTATGGACTATGTTTTAAATGGTAAAAAATTGCAGCACGCTGCTGTGCAAAGGGACTTGGGTGTCCTTGTGCATGAATCGCTGAAGGTGGGATTGCAGGTGCAGCAGGTGATTAAAAAAGCAAATGGAATTTTGTCTGCCATTGCTCGTGGGATGGAGTTTAAAAACAGGGAGGCTATGCTGCAGCTGTATAGGGTCCTGGTGAGGCCACACCTGGAGTACTGTGTGCAGTTTTGTTCTCCTTACTTGAGAAGGGATATACTAGCACTGGAGGGGGTGCAAAGGAGATTCACTCGGTTGATTCCAGAGTTGAGTGAGTTGGATTATGAGGAGAGACTGAGTAGACTGGACTTATACTCATTGGAATTCAGAAGAATGAGGGGAGATCTTATAGAAACATATAAGATTATGAAGGGAATAGATAAAGTGGAGGCAGGGAGGTTGTTTCCGCTAGCAGATGAAACTAGGACTAGAGGGCATCGCCTCAAAATAAAGGGAATCAGATGTAGGACTGAGGTCAGGAGGAATTTCTTCACCCAAAGGGTTGTGAATCTGTGGAATTCCCTGTCCAGTGAAGCAGCTGAAGCTACCTTGCTGAATGTGTTTTAAGGCAAGGCTAGATAAATTTTTGAACAGTAAGGGAATTAAAGGATATGGTGAGTGGACGGGGGTAGGTAGAGCTGAGTCTCAAAGATCAGCCATGATCTTATTAAATGGCGGGGCAGGCTCGAGGGGCCAGATGGCCTACTCCTGCTCCTAGTTCTTATGTTCTTATTAGATGTCATTAGTCTGACCAGCCATTTTGACTTTGAAACTCTTACAGGTTTTTAAATAAAACTATGATTAAATAAAACTATGAATCGACCTACACAATTCATTTTATGTGAAACCAAAATGGAATTTGAAACTGGTTAACTTATGCAAGTTGAATCTTGCAGTTCTAATGTCTAAACTGTTAACTGCAGTTCTAGCTTGTTAGCAAAAATATTTTAAGTCGTTGAGTACCAGACCCCCTCCCCTTCTTTTTGCACGCTACCTTCAGAATGTGTTGAGGTTTGGAGTGTTTAGATAGTTAAAATTATTGTTTTAAATAAAAATCAAATAATTAATGTTGAACAAGATTTTCTTAGACTAACTTTACAATCTCTTGTTTTCTCTTTAGATACAGAAGAAAGATATCTGAACACATTCCACCACACAACTAAGACTCTCTGCCTTTGGATTTTTTTCAAAGCAGTACTTTGGGACATTCCAGATAAAAGTGCACAGAATTTCATAATCTCCAGTGGATTTGATGCTTAAAACAGTACTCTTAGAAACCACCCGATTAGAATTTCTGTTCATTTCTTATACACAATAGCATCCTTGCTGTTGGTTTCAAAAACTGGTCAAGATGACAATGGCAAGCTTGTTCTCATTTACCAGCCCAGCTGTGAAACGCCTACTGGGCTGGAAACAAGGAGATGAGGAAGAAAAGTGGGCAGAAAAAGCAGTTGATGCACTAGTGAAAAAACTTAAGAAGAAAAAGGGAGCTATGGAGGAGTTGGAGAAGGCACTAAGCAGTCCAGGTCAGCCTAGTAATTGTGTCACTATTCCCCGCTCTCTAGATGGTCGACTTCAGGTATCGCATCGTAAAGGTCTACCCCATGTAATTTACTGTCGTGTTTGGCGATGGCCGGATCTTCAAAGTCATCATGAGCTGAAACCACTAGAGTGTTGTGAATTTCCATTTGGCTCAAAACAGAAAGAGGTCTGCATTAATCCATACCACTACAAGCGAGTAGAAAGCCCTGGTAGGTCACTCAGTCAATCTATATGTATGATAGCATATTAATTACGGCAAGTACATGACAGACAAAATGTCCAGTGGCGGACTGAATTTTCTTTGTGAAGTTGAGTAGCTGAGCTGAAATCTGCACCCATGTCTTTGTTGCTTTATGTCAGACTTCTGTAACGGATATTTAATATAGCTAATTCTTGGATATTTCATTGCAATCTAATAGAGTTAATTTATGGTTTGCAACTCTTAATGTGAACTTGGCTTTAAATATCACTTCACCTCACTTTCATAGTATTAAGTTTGTAGAGAGCGTAGAGTTTCCACAGGAAACTTGCATTTGTTTAACTTTAGAGGAAGCCCTCTGCCAGACGTGAAATGAAGACTTGCAGGATATTTTTGTACGGTTTCAATGGCACAGCTGCCTGAGTGTATTACGTACAGTTTTAATCTCCTTATTTAAGTAGGCATATTCATGTATTTGAGGCAGATTAGAGAGGGTTCATTTGTTGGTGATCTTATTGAAACATGTAAAGATTTTGAGAGGGTTTCTTGTGTGGCATTCATAATAAGTGGTCACCCATTTAGGATGGGGATGAGGAAAAGAAAATTCTCTTGTTTGTTTAATCTTGGGAATTTCTGTATCTCAGAGCAAAGTCTAGGCTGTGTTATTGAATATTGGTTAGACAGATTTTTAGTTGACATAAAGTTAAGGGGGACAGGGAGGAAAGTGAACTTAAGGTAATTATTGATCCAGTTGTGACCTTATTGGATGGTGGAGCAGGCCTAAGGAACCACATAGCCTACAGGTCTTATGGCACAACAGTAGTGTCCTACGTTTGGACCAGAAAACCTGGTGTTAAATGCTGTCTTTCCCAGTCATATAACGTGCCTGAACAGGTTGGTTGAAAATATCTACTCTTCCTAAACACGAGTTGCTGGAAGCTCAGCAGGCCTGGCAGCATCTCTGAAGAAAAAAATCAGAGTTAACATTTCAGGTACGGTGATGTTTACTCTGATTTTTTTCTTCACGAATGCTGCCAGATCTGCTGAGCTTGCAGCAACTCCTGTTTTTGTTTCTGATTTACAGCAACCACAGTTCTTTTGGTTTTTGTCTACTCTTCATACTTTGATTCTTAGAAGTTTAGGTCTTTGGAAGAATGCTGGCTATTATAATGCAAAATAAAGTAAACAAACCACCATGGTTTTGCTAATTTCAAATTATAATCCCTATTTAAAAATTAACATTGCAGTATTTATTGGCTAAGATTTATTGCAGTTTGGACCCTCCCTGCTTGTGCTCACCATAAAAGATAGTTTTTCATTGACAAGTTGAGCTTCCTATAAACCAAGATTTTAATTTTGTGTGAATGCTTTGCAGCATACCTGAGGACCAACAGTTTATCCACTGTTTGTGCTGGAAATTTTATGGGAGAAATTTTAAAGTAATTAATGTGATGTGGAACTAGTTAACACTCAAGGAACAAGAACTAACATAAGTGGTGCAGGCAAAGATGCACAAAAGGTGACAAAAAAGATGTTAAGAATTACAGGGAAGTAAGAAAAGAAATAGCAAGGAATACCAAACTGACATAATTTACTAACATTATTAGTAATAAGGATCATTCAGGAGTGATGTCAGCTCCTTAGAAACTGACTGCAGTGATTTAAAATGAAAATAATGAACGATTACTTTGCTTCACTGTTACAATATTCTGAGGAAGGGTCTCCGGACCTGAAATGTTAACTCTGATTTCTCTTCACAGGTACAGCCAGACCTGCTGAGCTTTTCCAACAACTTCTGTTTTCGTTTCTTTCGGTTTTTAATACTTGGGGCAAGGTTGTTTCCATCCCAGGGTTTTAAAGGAAGTAAGCAGAAACTTTGCATTTAATGTTTTGAAGCGTGCTCTTGACTTGGGCATGGGTTTTTAAAGTTAGAAAATTGAATATGTCACACAGTATTCAAAAAGGAAGAATGGAAATTGAGACAAGTTAGTCTCCAGAAAAGGCTGGCTTCCTCCATTCTGCTACATCAATGGACCTCTCCTTTATTCACTTGCTGAATTGATGGTGGACCTACTACAGTTCTTGATCTCCCTTATGTGAGCCAGTTTGTTGTGCAGCAAGAGTGGTGTCTGCCCTGGTTGAGACACCAAGAAACAGTAAATGTGGGAAAGAGGTGCCAACTGCCAAGAATGGAGATTCTCAGTTGAACTAAAGTAGAATGTGCAAATGGAAGTAGGAGTTTCATGAGTGTATGTTTGCCACACTTGGAGAAAAGACGTAGCAAGAGGGGGTGGGAAGGCTTATGCTGGGGGTATCCTGCTGGTACAGAGCTGTGTAGTATATTTAAAAATTAGAAGTCTTACTGTAGCAGCTCTGACCAAATCACTGAAGTTCTTTCCACAGGTTTGTTGCAATGTTTGTGGTATGAGAATCTAAACAATCAAATACCCAGCTACTTGTCCACTTGCTAGGTTCTTGAAGGAAGAAATCATCTTCCTCCTGGCCACCACCTCCACTGGAAATGCAGGTTTCAATTAAAACATGTAGTTCAGTAACTCATTCATCAAAGACACCAACCTCTTTTTAAGACATGTAGGTCCCCTTTAAATTGTGAGTACTGCTGGCAACTTATCCACCTGTGAGCAAGGTAACTGATATAAACACAAGCTGTACCGACAGCTCACTCGTGCCATGGAAATAAGACCTCTATTTCAAAGTGATACTTGCTGCATCACGTTCTGGCAGGCATAGATGACACCTCATAATTTTGGGCAGAAGTTGGTAATTTATAGATCAAAGATATATTGGCTTAGCATATATTTGATGCTAAGAAAGTAAATATAAGCGGAAGGCCTTCAAAGGTAAGATGATTTGCGTGAGAAATTTGGCAATAGAACAGACTTAAAGGCTTTGTATCTTAATGCACAAAGCATTTGGAATAAGGTAGATGAACTGATGGCACAAATTGAGGATAAATGAATATGATCTCAACCATGTTTCTGTAATGACTACAAGGAGATCAAAATTGGGAACTTAATATTTAGGGATATTTGACCTTTTTAGCGAGGAGAAGGGTTAATAAGAAATGAAATGAGAACAGTTGAGAGAAGATCTAGGCTTAGATGTAGAGTCCATTTGGGTGGAGGTTTTAAAATAGCAAAAGAAAGAAGACATTTGTAGGAGTTGTGTACAGTCCTCCAAACAGTAGCCATTATATGGGAAAGGCTATAAATCAACATGTAGAAGGAGCACGGAAAAAGAATAGAGCAACAACTATGGCTGACTTGATTTGATTGGGTTAATCAAATTGGTAAAGGGTACTATGACAACAAATTCATTGAGTGCATTAGGGAAAGTTTCTTGGAGCAATATACCATGGAGCCAACCAGAAAGCAGGCTATCCTGGATCTGTTTGTAGGAAATGAGGCTGGTTTAATGACCTTGGAGTAAAAGATCCCTTATGAAGTAGTGATCATAATGTAATAGAATTTAATGTGCAGTTCGAGAGTGAGAAACTTGAGTGGAAACAAATGCCTTTAACTTAAAGTGAATTGCAATGAAATTTGGGGATAGGGTTAGCTAAAATGAACTGGTCGGATAGATGAGCAACAATGACAACAAGCAAACAGTGGCAGACATTTAAGGAGCTAATTCATGACTCCCAGCACAAACACATGCCAATGGGGGGAAAGATTTTAACAGAAGGACAAACTAGTCAAGGAAGTTAAGGAGAGTATTAAGTTGAAAGAAAAAGTATATAAGGAAGCCAAAGTCAATGATAACCCCAAAGACTGGGATAAATTCAGAATCCAGCAAAGGAGAAATTTCAAGATAATAAAGGAAGACAGAGGTCAAAATAGACAAAGGCCCCCTAGAAAATGAATCTTGGAGATGGTTTTAGGAAGTAAGAAAATGGCATTGGAGTTGAAAAGATATTTTGCATCAGTCTTTAGGGTGGAACGTACTTTGAACATCCTATTAGTACTAAAGAATACTGGGGAGGGACTAAGTACCACCACCATCACCTAAATAAGTAGTGTTAAACGAACTAATGGGGTGAAAGGCAGATTCATCTCCCTGCCCTGATGGCTTGCATTCTAAAGGAGGTAGCAAAAAGGATAGTGGGTATATTGGTTATTTTCCAAAAATTGTTAGATTCTAGAGAAGTACTAGAGGACTGGAAAACTGCTAACGTGACACCAGTATTTAAAAAAGGAAGGACGCCAAAAGTAGGTAACTGTAGGCCAGTTAGCCTAGCACCTGTTGTAGGAAAAGTATTGGAATCGATTATTAAGGAAGTATTAGCAGAACATTTGGCAGGGCATTATCTAATCAAGCAGAGTCAGCATGGGTTCACAAAACGGAAGTAGTGTCTGACTAATTTAGTAGAGTTTTTTGAGAAAGTTTTAACCAGAACAGCTGGGGAAGAGACAGTAGACCTGTTGTATTTGGACCTCTAGAAGGTGTTCAGCAAGGTACCTCACACATGGTTAAGTGATAAGACAAGAATCCACAGTATTAGAGATTGTTTCCTAATATACTGAGCGGGAATAAATGGTTCTTTCTCAGGTAGGTGATTCGTGACCAGTGTGATTCCACAGGGATCAGTGCTGGTACTGCAACTGTTTATAATATGTTAATAACTTGGAGAAAGGAAGTGTTGTACCATTTTCTGACAACACTAAAATAGACAGCAAGGCAGATTGTGACAGGAATGTAAAAAGTTTGCATAGAGGTATTGATAGGTTAAGTAAGTGGGCAAAACGTTGGCAACTAGAGTGTAATGTGAAGTTCATTTCGGAAAGCAGAATAAAAGAACAGTACTGTTTTAATGGAGACACTACAGAAAACTGGAACACAAAGGGACTTGGGGTTACTTGTGCAAGCAACATAAAGCAAGCACACAGGTGCAGCGGGTAATTGTGAAGGCAAATGGAATGTTGTCCCTTATTTCAAGAAGGTTGGAATATAAGAGCAGGGAAGCCTTACTACAACTGTACAAGGTGCTGG